AGTGTATGGGCTGCTCCAAATTCTACTAGTATCTATTTAAAAAATTTAATTTTGATGATTCAATTATTTCTTACAGCAGTAGACTGTAGCATCATAGGAATTGGTGTTAGTGCACCCACTATCAATGTATGTAGAAAAGGAGCATTGTGATAAAGTTAAATAGTTGCTATTACCACACTTCACATCATCAATTATCATTTGATTAGTATCAGTCCCATAGTTTGATAGTCCAGCTCTAGAGTAGCTTGAAGCTCCAGTGTATCCCAACTGATGACAAATGACATCAGCTTCTGAGGAACTGTAATAATTGTCATCACAAATGTTACCCCATATACTATTATAATAAAGTTGCACAATGCCGTAATAGTATGAAGATGAAGAAACCCCATTACGATAAAGAACTATTGTACCAGCGGCTGCAGAACCAGCATTAGCTAGGTTAAAGTTAGTAAGTAGTTTCATTTGATTAATAAAACAACTTACATATTAATCCAGAACAAATAGATAAAGTAGTAGTATATCTAGTAGTAGAATAAATTTCACCTACAAAATAATAACCAAATTAATTATACATGTATACATGTACATATACAACTAACTGCATGTGACTGAGACATCACTGGAGTGAGAGCAACTAGTGATAGAGCTTGAAGGACAACTGTTACTGGAACCAAAGCATGTAGCATATGATGTACTGTACATGTTAGTACTCCAGATTGGCTGACTTGTATTGCCATATCTACAAGAATTGAGTTTTAGACATTATTTAAAGTAGATAATATTACAATGAATCATATCTCCTTGAACCAGAGTCATATCCAAGCTGCCTACAAATAGTATTAGCATCACTTGTACTAAATCCAGTGCTGCATATTGTTCCCCACTGTCCATTACAATAAACCTCAACACGCCCTTCATTAGAATAATATCCACCTTGAAGACGTACCATACCAGCATATGGATTACTGTTCCAGATTTTAGTGGTATCTGTGACAATACATGAAAAACAAGATAAAAATAATAATATCTTACAGCAGTATACAGTAGCATCATAACTGTTACGGTTAACACAACCACTGTCAATGTAAGTAGAGTAGGTACATTGAGCAATGGATAAATAGCTGCTACTGACACAGTTAACATCATCCCATTTCATAGAAACATAGTCTGTACCATAGCTACAAAACAAAAATTATTAATATTATCATTAATGAAATATACCTTGTTAGTCCAGCTCTAGAGTAGCTTGAAACTCCAGTGTATCCTAACTGATGACAAATGACATTAGCTTCAGAGTAACTGTAAGAGTAGTCATCACATATGTTACCCCATCCATTATAATACACTCTCACTACTCCATAATAATAAGAAGGTGATTGTATGTTGCTGCGAGATAAAATAAGTGCTCCATTAGAAACAGAGCCTAATTATAGAATTATAAAACTATCATCACACAATCATAGGGAATTAACTGACTAAGAATAAGTCCAGGACAAGTGGACTGAGTAACAGTTTGTCTGGAAGAAGATGAGATGTCTCCTAAGTAAGTATTACTTTATATCAAGCAACAACAACTTATTTCACTAACTGCATGTAAGTGTAACATCATTCAACTGAGAGCAGTTGGTCACTGAAGCTAATGGACAAGAGTTTCCAGAACCAAAGCACCTATGACTTGCTGTACTATACATGTTAGTGTTCCATATAGGCTGAATTGAGTCATTAAATCTGAAATGAATCTTAAAAATGATTTAAAACAATCAATAAAACTAACCTTGAGGTGTGATTAAATTTGTCATAACCATCATATCCCAGTTGCTTGCAGAGAGTGTTGGCATCAGTAGAGTCAAACCCATCACTGCATATTGTCCCCCACTGTCCATTACAATAAACTTCAACACGTCCTTCATTAGAATAATCTCCATCTTGAAGACGTACCATACCAGGGAATGGACTACTGTTCCATATCCTTGTGGTATCTGTAATAATACTCATAAATAAAATCTAACAATAATAATACCTTACAGCAGTATACAGTAGCATCATAACTGTTACTGTTAACACAACCATAATCAATAATAGTAGAGTAGGTACATTGAGCAATAGATAAATAGCTGCTACTGACACAGTTAACATCATCCCATTTCATAGAAAGATAGTCTGTACCATAACTAAAAAACAATAGTAACTATAGCTACAAGAACAAACACACCTGACACGACCAGCTCTAGAGTAGCTAGAATATCCAGTGTATCCCAGCTGATGACAAATGACATTAGCTTCAGCTGAATTATAATAGTAGTCATCACAAATGTTCCCCCATCCATTATGATAGACTCTAATTGTTCCATAGTAATAAGTAGTTGATGATATATTGTTACGAGACAAAACAATAGCTCCATTAACAGCGTCAGGCACACCATCTAAAATGAAAAGTCACTAAGTTGATTGGGGTAATGTGCTATAACAATGTTGGCTTGAAGTGTACAATTGTTGGATTACTATAGAGTGATTTTAATGATGAGAAAAATGTTAAAATTTTATGGCTACTATTTTATCTGTTTGTTACCAATTACATACATAACTAATAAATAACAATTTCTTTATTCTAATATGGAAATAAGTAATTAATAGCGCCCTAATATGAACATAATAGATACTCATTGCCTGTTATTTTAACCTGAAGTTTTAAGCTAAAACTTCCAACCTACATGTACATATGTATCAATGAATTTGTAATACAAAACTTGAATTTAAATAGTAGGCAGGATGTGATGAGTTTGATCATCGGTAGAACAATGCAACAACAAAGCAACAGAAAGATGCATTGTCATACAGCAAAGGCCAAAGTTTAAGCAGCAACAAGGACTCTCATCATAAATAGTAAACATAATACAGCAGTTTTTTAGTTTGACTTCTTGTAGCTTTTATAAAAGTCCAAGTAACTACATGTAACTAGTATCTAGAGTAATTTAACATAATCTAAAGTATTGGTGGACTGTTAATATTTTGTACATGTATACATACAGTTCTTATCATTAGTTAAAATCAAAAGTACATGTGCTCTTGATTAAATCAAATGGCAGCAATAATATCACATACAAGTACTAATATCATATTACATGAATCTAATAGACTAACCTAATACTTGTGAGCATGATGCTTTTGTGTTGGTCACAACAGAAAATGAAGAAGTGTCACCTACAAAAACATCATAACAATATATAAAATAATTTATCAAGAGCAGGTAACAAAGCATGGATGTACAAAAATTACATAACATACTGCACTTCAAAAATAGATCATTAAGATGAGAGCAGTTAGTGACTGAATTCATTGGACAGCTATTGCTTGAGCCATAACACACATCATATGATGTACTGTACATACTGTCACTCCATATAGGCTGACTAGAGTTACTAGGTCTATAAAAGTGACATACAACTATACTTTGGAAATATATTGCTTACAATGC